AGAGCCTCCTCCCTCAGACACCTTTTTCATCTAGACGTGTCTGCCATGAGATCCCATGAATCCCTTGCTGTGTTTGTTAAAGGCTGCTTTTGTGGAGTCAAGGGCTTGTACCTTAGTGTACTCTTTCCATATGTTCATTCATATTAAACATTTTGTCATTTGTTGATCATTGTCACTCAACTTCCCTTCCACCCTCAGAGTCTTAACCTTTTCCTCCCTATTATTGAGCAGAAAATTAAGAAGAGCTTCCCCACTAGTTGGTTTCTCTATCCAGGGCTGGCCCTGGAGGGGAGGGGGGGGGGCGAATTGGGGTGACTGCACTGGGCCCTGGTGGGACCACATGCTTTGGGGGGCCCTATGGAGCTGGGTGGAGTGGCCACAGTGACTCTGCACCGCCGCCAGCTTTGCTTCCGACCACTCGCTACTCCCTGCTCCCCCCGCTGCCACCACCACCACCACTGCTGATGGCAGTGGCAGCTTCTTCTGGTCTGGGGTGCATGGGATTGGGGAGGGGCCCCGCACAAGCTGATTTGCCTCGGGCCCTGCACCTTGCTTGGGTCGGCTCTGTCTTCATCATGTATTCCCCAAACCTTGTCTCCAGCATAAGCCAAAACACTTGCTGCATGGATCCTGCACTGCTTTTCTACCCTTGCATCAATAATCATAGGAGCTGACGTTTTCCATAAGCATGAGGTCTTGCTCTTTGGCTACTTTGGTTAGTTTAACAAAGCCCTCATACACTTCCTCTTTTTGCATTAGAGGTTGATTGTAGATACCCACAACAATATCAACCTTGCTGTTGTCCCCTGGTGCCTTGATCCAGAGACTTGAAATATGCCTATCACTTTTTCCTTCCATGCCCCCAAAGCAAGTGTAAGACTCTTTACGATTTAAAGTAATGCTTTTTCATTTTTTCCCCTTCCTGAACAAGTTACAATATTCCAGTTATGTGAACTATCCAGGCAATTCTGTTATTCCAAATGGATCATAATTTCATGTGTACATTAGTATTTCCAGGTCCTCCATATTATTTGCCATGATTTTCACAGTGGGAGCAGCTGTTTCCAACTTTTCCAGGTTTGGGGCCACCATGACCCAGTTTAGATTAGAGGCTGGCAGACATGTGGGTGCTGGGCCCTGGCTGGCCACCCTTCTATTTGAACTTCCAAGGATACATCTTTTATTTCCTGGGCAGCAGCACACTCTAGTCCCCTAATGAATGTAGCACTTGGCCTGTATGCAGCTGTCAGCATATGTATTGGTGTCCTACATCCTATTTCACTGCATGTGTGGCATGGTTCTGTTTTCTGGCTGCCCACATGAATTAAACGCTTTGTGAACCTTTACTTTGAAAAGAAGGAAATCAATGACTTTTCCAAACAGTGGACAAAGAACTGAGCACAAAGTGGCAGATAAACTTTCATGTCAAAAATGCACATAAGGAAAATTTTCTTGAAATATAGGTACACAATGCTGCATTCTGAACCAGCTGTTCCAGCAAAGGAAAAAGACCCTGAAGTCATTGTAGATAGTTCTCTAAAACTATCATCTCAGTGTGCAGAGGGAACCAAACACACCAATAAAGTGTTGGGTACTATATAAAAGGTATTAAAACAAAATTAAAACATCATCATGCCACCATACAAACCGGTGGTGTGCCCACCTCTTGACTACTATGTGCTGTTCTGGTCTCTGTATTTCAGTAAAGATGTAGAAGAATTAGAAAATGTACAGAAAAGGACTGAGAGTGGATCTAGGAATTTGAAAAGGGGGTGTAGATGTTGTGGTGCATCATCACATGTAACATAGCACATTGTTTCCAGTTAAGAAGAAACTAGAACCTTTACTCATATGTCAGGGGCATAGGTAGTCTGACCATAAGGAAATCTGGGACATATGGGGCACTGCCTACTCACCTGCCTCACTGTCTCCCTTCCTCACGCTCTCACAAATCAGCAGAGTGGGATATTATGCTGGGCAATGATACCTGCCTGCCTTCCTGGAAGGTGCTCTGTGCTATGCCACTCAAACTCCAAGCAAGACCGAACCCCATGCACATGCATTTCTGGGATGCCAATTATAATTCTCAACAGCCCGCTGGGAGCAGCCCTGAAATCAGGGAGTGTCCCAGCTAACCTTGGACATATGGTCACCCTAGGCCTAGGGCTATATTATTCAGTTTAAGATAGATGCAAAGACAAATATAACTTTATTGAAATGTGTCAGAACCCAGTGATTTTTTGATGCCTTGGCACAGCGGAATTTCCCGCCACATGGAGCTTCTTTGCACGGTGGATTTCTCAGCTCCAGAGAGAAATCCCCGGTGCAAAAGAGTTCCCGCCGTTCATATGCAAATTAGTGTCCCACTATTGGCTGTTTCTAAATTATTCCTACGTGGCGGCTGGCAATTGGCTCGCTAGCCGTATAAAGGGTTAGAGCGGTTTCCGCCCAAGTTGAAGGAAGAGGTCTCCACTACCATCTCGTGGGGAACTCTAAGCGCACTGTGGAGCTTAGCAAACTCTGTGTGTGTGTCTTGGAGGAGATATTAGGGGCCTGATCAACCTCTAACCCCTTCCCGTCATCGTGTGTTTATATATATATATATAGTATTGTATATATATATATAGTGACGTACCCCCA